GGTGTTACCTGGTGCTCCGTACCAGTGGTAGGCAGGTAACACGCCTCCCACCCCTGGACACTCCAGGTGTTACCTGGTGCTCCGTACCAGTGGTAGCCAGGTAACACGCCTCCCACCCCTGGACACTCCAGGTGTCCTGGAGCTAGGAGTCTTCAGCATAATATGACTGTTAAAGTTACTGACGCAGTCAACGCTGCTGGCGGAGTCAGGTAGGACGCTGTGTTACAGGAAGCCGGAGACCGAGAGCTTGAGCGAGGTCGGAGGAAGAAAGCTTGAGTGAGGGCTGGGCCAGAGCTCAGCACGAAGTGTCCGTGTACCACTGGCTTTAGTGAGCCCGTAATTGGGTTCGGTTATTTGCGATAACCTTGTTACTGTGATATTTGGGTCAAGGTTTTAAGTGGAGGTGGGGTTTCCTCCTTTTTCCCTATTTCTTTTTCGCTTCTGTTTTAGTCGTGTTTTAATAACATTATTTTGGTGGCGGATATAGGTGCAGAATGTTCACTAGTGAGTCCCATTCTTTAACTGTTTTTCTAATCATTGTAGTGGCTGTGGAATGTGCATCTAATGCAGCTGCTGTCGTTGGGTTAATGTTGAGTTTGATGGTCAGGGCTTCAGTAGCTTCACATTCCAGTAAGTAGTGCAACAGTGGCGCCTCTGCTTCTGTTCCACAGATGTGTCACTCTTTAACTATTGGGTTCATTACCTCCCAGCAGCACTTGTAACCAAGTCTGAGTCTGTGTATGGCTACTGCAATGTCTCTGGATATCTTTTTGCCAAGCTTGAAAGAGCTGATGCTGCTATGTTCCTGATGTGTTACACCCCAGACCTCGTCTGCCTTGCCTCCTGGCCCAGCCGGCTGGTGTAAGCCGGCTGGCGTAAGCCGGCTGGTTTAAGCCGGCTGGTGGGAAAGTTTCCTGGTTATTAGAACTTGGTGGGGACTTGTGTTTATGTAATTACAGATGCCACTAATGGCTAGTGAATATGAGTGCAGGTGTCAGCGATTATGGGATAAGAAGGTGGCATATTAGAGATAATGTTGGTTGGTGCCAAATATGTGAAGATTTGTAAGTACTGAAGTTCTTCACAAGTGTGAGTGGACACTTAGTGGTCATAATCTACCGCCCCGTGTATAACAGTTCCTCCTGTGAGGTTGGTGTAATACATGGAGATAATGTTAAACCAAACTTTGTCTGTCATCTTATAAATTAAGTTAGCAGCACCGTGCTGGCGCGACAAAGTTTATACTTACACCAGCTGCTAGACCTACACAGTCGAGTGTTGTAAAGCCAAGTGCAAGTGCCTGAGGCCATCACGTGAGGCTGTGGTGTGGCCCTCAGGGTCTGAGTGTGTCACGAGAGTCGATGAAAGTGAGTACCACACCCTAAATCCCTCTGGTGCCACCAGGGCCATGGCCCCTGTCTCAGGTGTGGCCTGCTGTGGCCTAGTGCAGGCTGGCCTTCACTGGGCTGAGGGCCTCAGGGCCCATGCCTTCAGGGCCCAGGGCCCAGGCCACTTGAGGGCCCAGGTAAGTGGCCACCTGAGGGCCCAGGACAGTCAGTGAGTGACGTCTGACCTTCACTCGTGGTGCACAAAGTTCATCAGAGTTCCTCAGGCGTTGAGTGATTAATGTTGTGTGATCGTCGGTGTGATCCCTGCGTCTGGCGGTGTGCGTGGGTGTGTGTGCGTGTGCGTGTGTGTGCGTGGGTGTGTGTGTGTGTGTGCGTGTGTGTGTGTGTGTGCGCGTGTGTGTGTGTGTGCGTGTGCGTGTGTGTGTGTGTGTGTGTGTGTGTGCTCGTGCGTGTGCTCAAGACGATTCCCGGGTCATGCGTTACGTCTGCTCCATGATGTGAATTTGTAACATTCGTTGTAAATTCACTGTCTTTTCCTCTGTCAGAGTAAGTGACAGATTCCAGTTTAAGACCAATTTTTGTCAGAGTTTTACTTACACCTTCGGTCTTAAACACTTCTTATGGAGAAAGATAAACTCTTCGGACTTAAGTTTTTTTTAAGTAATCCACAATAACAGACGTTAGTTCTTGGACCCGGCTCTATTTATTTTCAGTTTTATTAACACCTGCGGTCTTAAAAAGAGATAACAAATTATAGATGTAATTAAATTCTACGGATTTAAGCAGATATTTTTTAAAATTTCCTCAGAAATTAGGTCGTTGACCGGCGCTAGACGTTTATAGGTGTAATTTGCTACTAATAGCCCAATTTTATCCCAATTTAAAACAGTCCCATTTTAAACGTAGTAAGAAAATAAAACAGTGTTTTCTATTTATGTGAATAATGAAAATAGTGAAGTATATAAAAATAGTGAAAATAGTGATCTTAAACAAATCTGCACTTTATATAGTAACAGATTTACCCAGACATTCTTTTCTTGTCGTTTCTTAACTAAAATTATTCGTCCATCAACTTAAAATAGTCAAGTGTAACTTCTTTCAACACTTTCTTAACTATTATTATGCTTCATTCAACTTAAAAATTGTCGAGCACATCATCTTTACATCATTTCTTAACTATAGTTACTCTCCGAAAGTCTTTGAGCGTGAAATGTTGCTCTCATGTGATCTTTATTCATCAATGACACTCACTCAGAGATCAAAATACTATTCAAGTTATCAAAGTTATTCTCAGAGACAACAAATACTATTCTTGCCTTCACAAGTTATTCTCAGAGTCATCAAAGGTAACCTCGGAAACATTAACAATACTATTCATTCCATCAAAGTTATTCTCAAGAGACAACAAAATATATTCTCAGAGTCATCAAAGGTAATATCAAACTCACTTTTGTTCATCAAAGAAACATTCTAAGTCATCTTCGAGCACCAAAGTTGTTCTCTAAGTCATCTTCGCCATTTTAAGAATCCCTCTAAGACAACAATAATAAGTTCCTAGATCATTTTAACTGTCATTTGCACTCCTTAACGCGACTTTATATAAAAGACTTTATATAGGCAGCGTCTGGGATGCTCTCGGACGCAGGTTCGAATCCTCATCACGGCCCTTGTGGAGTTGTTCATTTATATATAAGAATTAATCTCTAGGACTTCTTCAAGCATCAGATAAACTCTCAAACGAGACAAACGTTATTCTTATATTCAATAAAGTAGTCAATGGAAACTTTTCAAGACATATGTAACCTAAGACATAGCATTATGTAGTCTCAAACAATTATATGTATTATATCAAAGTAAACATGTGTAACTGTATGTACTAATAAACTTACGCGTCATGTAAAATGAGTAAAAATACCTATCTTTATGTAGCAGTAAAAGTTTCAGTAAAACATTTTACAGTCAAAACTTGTTAATAACATTTATTATGTAAGTGACAAAACACGATTCTTCAAGTAAATAATTAACATTTTCTTAACAAACTTACATTTCTGTTTATTAATTATTCTGTTAAAAATGTTTTTCTCATTAACTTTATCTTAGACTGTTGGCTGAAGCAACAGTGGATTATCCAACATAACCTAAGTTACCCATACTTGCCTATCCTAACGTCCCTTCCCTTACCTATCTTGAGGTTATATTGAGATGATTTCGGGGCTTTAGTGTCCCCGCGGCCCGGTCCTCGACCAGGCCTCCACCACCAGGAAGCAGTCCGTGACAGCTGACTAACACCCAGGTACCTATTTTACTGCTAGGTAACAGGGGCATAGGGTGAAAGAAACTCTGCCCATTGTTTCTCGCCGGCGCCCTGGATCGAACCCGGGACCACAGGATCACAAGTCCAGCGTGCTGTCCGCTCGGCCGACCAGCTCCCACTAACGACCTAACCGACCTAACCTGACTCACCTGAGTTAACCTATCCTAATGTAACTTACCTAGCCAAGCATACCTATCCTCTCCTGCCTGATGGAACATAACATGACTTCTGTAACCTAACTTACATATCTTACTAACTTAGCTGACATAACTTACCTAACCCAACTTACCTGTCCTCTTCTACATTATGTAACTTACATAACCTAACTTAGCTAACCTAACCTACCCAACCTGACGTAACTTACCCATCGTGACCTGACTTAGCTTACATAACTTACCTAACAAACCTTACTTAAAGCATCGTCTTAGTCTCTGAAACATCAACTCTTCATTATTTACACTCAGACAACACATTTACACTCAGACAACACATTTACACTCAGACACTTTTACACTTAAACTTTTACACTTCCACTTTTACACTTAAACTTTTACACTAGAACATTCATATTACATTTTCAAACTTATACAAATACGAACTTAAAATACCCATGACTCATTCACTTTTACATAAATTGCATAAATATTTACCAACAATATGTACGTCACGTGATCATTTACACACAATTACACTCGCGAACTTATACAACTTAAACAATACACTCCTCATTAACTTACACTTACACTTACAGCCAGTAGCCAACACCACAACTGCCACCACCAATGGGTTGACTAACTCCTCAGTACCTACTTACTGCTAGGTCAACAGAAGCATTAGGTGAAACGAAATGTGCCCAACTGTTTCTGTCCCACATGGGATTCGAACCCGGAATTCCCGATTGTTCGTCGAGAATAATCCCGACTGTACGTACCGGGAGCCCTTATATATATACTTCATACCCTGACATATATACTTTAGGCTTAAATCAAGGTCCCTCTAAGATCGACCTGGTGATCTTGCAGGATGCAACCCACAACAGTTGCCTGACTCATGGGTATGCCTGAATAGATGCATTAGGTGAAAGGAAACGTGCTCAATTATTTCTGTTCTGCAAAGGAATCGAACTCGGGATCCCCGAGTTGGAGTCGAGAACAAAGCCTACTGTGCCACTAACATTCCAGTTCCTTCGACCCTGGAGTCACTTAATTTCCTCCCGCATCATTGTTAACACTGCTGAGAGAACAGATGCACCAGGTGAAAGCACGCGTGCTCTCAAACGTCTCCGCCCTGCCGCGGGAATTGAACCCGGGACCTCAGTCGTTGTCCCTCAGAGAGGTCCATCAGCCAGCAACTCCTCCCTCAATGTTCTCACATAAATACATTCACTCCCCCCCCCATATGTTCCTGTGGGGAGCCAACTTTCACTCCCTCAACACTTTCACCCATCTGTCTGCCCTCCCTCCCCCCCTCTCACGGTCCTTACCAGCACCATTAATTATTCTTAGTAAATGTACACAATCATTCCAGTTATATAAAAGAATTAATATTGTTTAAATATTAAAGAATATAAGAATATAATATAAGAATTAAATATTGTTGAACATAAGAGTTAAGCAATATTTACCAGTATTTACCCAAGTGTTTCACAAATCTAAACCTGTTCAGTTTAGTGCTGCGGTTTACTGTTCTATTTTTCTTTTGGTGTAAACTGGCAGCAGGTTTTCATTGATACATGTTTCATTAATATGGCTGCATGTTCTGTCTTGATTATTTTCTTGTTTAGGGCTTCTACCCCTCTGACCAGTGTTCATGCATCCGGGTGTAACTGGAAGACCAGTTCTCCAAAAGTCATCTCTTTTCGAGATAAACTATAAGAATAATTAACTGTAGAATGCATTACACTAATTATAAATTTACACAACGTTTCGAACCTACATGGTTTATTCTCAAGTGATGGGACTGTGATCGATTGATGAAGATTAAGCCACCCAAAAGGTGGCACGGGCATGAATAGCCCGTAAGTGGTGGCCCTTTTGAGCCATTACCAGTATCAAAAGATGACACTGGAGATCTGTGGAGCCGCAATTGCACCCTGCGTGACGGGAGATGTCTCCCGGACCAAATGGTGACCAAATGGTCTGGGACTGTGATGATTGATTGATGAAGATTAAGCCACCCAAAAGGTAGCACGGGCATGAATAGCCCCTAAGTGGTGGCTCTTTTAAGCCATTACCAGTATCAAGAGCTGATACTGGAGATCTGTGGAGGTGCGAATGCACCCTGCATGACGGGAGATGTCTCCCTTGTGAATGTGTTTAAGATGAAGATGAAGCCACCCAAAAGGAATGGCACGGGCATGAATAGCTCGTAAGTGGTGGCCCTTTTGAGCCATCACCAGTATCAATAGATGATACTGGAGATCTGTGGAGGTGCGACTGCACCCTGCGTGACGGGAGATGTCTCCCGTGACATCTCCCGTGACTGGGACTGTGCTGGGCGAATTGGATTTATAGCAATAGGGAGGTGAGGTACATAATACAAATAGGTGAGGAGTATGGCATAAGCGGGGAGAAGAATAGGGCATAAATGGGGGAGGGATGAAGCAGAAAAGAGGGAGGAAGCACATACAGAGATTAATCAGGTGTAGTGGACGTGTGTCTTGAGCAGTGTCGTCTACGGTGGCGTCTTCACGTTCCGGTCTTGTTCTCACTACCCACTTGTTCTCATGGTGGCTGGAGTGAATAGTTCCCTTATTTGGGTATTTATGGCGGGTTGTTCGGCTTTTATATGAATTGCTTCAAGAAATTTTAATCTTCTTACATCTTGGGTTTTGTCTATTATCCAGGTGCTTATATTTAACATTTCTCTTGTTAGAGTGATGTCGTGGGCTTGTCTCATGTGATTCCTGGGGGCACCGGATTGAAGATGACAGGTCAATCGCCTCGTCAGCTTGGTCGACGTCATACCTATGTACTTAGAGTGAAGGTTACATCCTTCGTGGGGGCAAGTGTACATGTATACAGGGGGCAAGTGTACATGTATACAGGGGGCAAGTGTACATGTATACAGGGGGCAAGTGTACATGTATACAGGGGGCAAGTGTACATGTATACAACGCTTGACTGCTGTAGAGGGTTCTCCGTCGGCTTCGGCCTGTTTTTAATAAGGAGGTCGGTATAGTCTTCTTTGTTTTATAGAATATGATTAGGCCTATGTTTTGGTTAGCAGTTATGCTTTTTACTCCTTTACGGATTATTTCTTTCATTATTCGTTTCTCTTATTTTATGTTCACTGTGCATGATGGATTTATAATATAATTTTATATAAGGTGTTGTGGTTTCTGTTCTTGGTTCAGGATTGTATTATCGGTCCAGGTGTGTGTTAGTACACACTGATCCTTGCAACATGTGTTGATATCAACGCAAGATATCAACACATGTTGATATCTTATATCAACATGTGTTGATATATGTGCCAACATGTGATGTTGATATAATATATGAATAAAATCGACATCTTCCTCAGTGAAGTGACCTCCTTTTACTGCTAGGTGAACAGACGCATCAGGTGAAAGGAAACGTTGCCAATCGGTTAAGGACCGAGGAGGTCCGCCGTCTCTCTTGATTTGTCGCAACGTTCAGACTACGACGTCCTAACCTAACCATAGACATACGAAGCCAAGTCATTCACAACGTACAACATACAGGGTACTTAAACACACGAACCCAACCCACCTAACCTAACCAATCTATGAATAGAAAACGTGTGGTCTCCCAACCTCCAGAAAACGATCACTTTAAAGTGGTCTCTCCTAACCCACCAGAGGACACAACATAGAAAACGGGACACTCCGTCACTCGCGACCAGCCTCCACTTCGTAGTACGACAATTTCTGGCCGTATGTGAGGCACTCGAGCGAAGTGTGTATACAATGACACACTTGAGGGCTGATAACTGTTGTCTTTTGTTGATAAAAATCTGTTGTTGAGTTTATAATTTGTTATTGTTTTTATTATACACTCTGACTCTTTTGTTTGTTTGTTTGTGCACGTGAACTCTTCTTTGTATGACGTCACTGACTTCACACGGTACAAGTGACGTCACTGATATGAAAGTACAAGTGACATCACTGATTTCATACAGTACAAGTGACGTCACTCGGATCAGGAAGTATTAGCGACGCTACTAGTTTCAGAAGTAAAAGTGACGTCCCTTTTCTCATAAAGTAAAAGTGATGTCATTTGTTTCTTAGTGACGTCACTGGTGTCAGAGAGTGACGTCACTGGTGTCAGAGAGTGACGTCACTGGTGTCAGAGAGCAAGATGACAATTAAAGTCTGATGAGAATTTCTGTTATTTTTATTTTACTTTATTATATATAAACAAGACGTCAGAATAGGTTGTCTTAGTTCAGACTTTGGTGACTAACTGGACTTGGGGAACATGTTGACGTAAATATAGATATATTTACCTCTTTCTGATATAGTAAATATATCTGATATATCGTAACTATAGATATATTTACGTCTTGTATGACGTTAACGGCTCCTGACGTCCCTCTTGCATGAGTTGCAGTTCTTGGACGGTATTGAGCAGTGACGTTGTATGTGTAAATATGTATATGTATATGTATATTAGTATATTTTGGTAGCAGTCTTTCCTGTAGACATATATTATTAAATATGACCGAAAAAGTAAGATTAATAATTCTAACACGAATTTTCTCAATCTTTCGTACATTACGCTTCACTGTTGGAGGTAAATCAAAAATCACTTCTCCAAAATTCATTTTTATTTCTAGTCTGACGCGACACGGGCGCGTTTCGTAAAACTTATTACATTTTCAAAGACTTCACAAATACACAACTGATTAGAACGTATCTCTGATTTTATATCTACATTTGAGTGAGGTGGGAAGGGTGATGTGGCATTAACACAAGACAGAACAGGAGAGGATATTAATAGGGTATTAAAAGTATCAACACAAGACAGAACAGAAACAATGGGTATTGAATAGAAGTGTTTGTAGAAAGCCTATTGGTCCATATTTCTTGATGCTTCTATATTGGAGCGGAGTCTTGAGGTGGGTAGAATATAGTTGTGCAATAATTGGCTGTTGATTGCTGGTGTTCGACTTCTTGATGTGTAGTGCCTCGCAAACGTCAAGCCGCCTGCTATCGCTGTATCTATCGATGATTTCTGTGTTGTTTACTAGGATTTCTCTGGCGATGGTTTGGTTATGGGAAGAGATTATATGTTCCTTAATGGAGCCCTGTTGCTTATGCATCGTTAAACGCCTAGAAAGAGATGTTGTTGTCTTGCCTATATACTGGGTTTTTTGGAGCTTACAGTCCCCAAGTGGGCATTTG